ACCTGCCATCTCAGGCATGGCTGTGTCATTGGCACCTGCCCCGAGGCCACTCTGTTCTCTGACTCACCCTTCATTTTCAAGACGAAGAAGGCTACAAATGTTTCCAGATACCAGCTCTTGTTTCCTCTAGGTGCTGGCCAGGGTTGGTGGAGATCAAGTTCAGAACCAGGGAATCCTGGGAGGGAGCAAGGCTGAAACCAACCTTAGAAAGGGCTCATGTTTCAGGGCTGTGCAAGCCCCTGCTAAGTGCGTGATACACAAGTTTCAAATGGGGAGGATGTGACTGGAAATCACTAGCCCAAGGCCATCATCAAACTCCTGATATTCTCATGATATGCCTACATGGACCTCCCCTCCCATACCTGCCACCTATGGTTTACTACCCAGCAACTTCCAGGACCTGGCCTCCATTGTGCCCTCCAGAGAAGAGGAGGAAGCTGAGGTCAGTTAAACATCAACTGGGTGCCAGGTCCCTGCTGGGCTTTCTCCAATACCATCTCCCCACCTCACTCCCAGGTGGACGTAACAGTGCCCACTTTGCAGATGAGAAAACTGAGCCTATGGTGGAGAATATTCCTTGGTGGAAGGACCCAGGGCTGGGTTTGAACCCCTGCTCTTTTTAACATAAGCAATGGCCAGTAAGAGCCACAGAACCTTCAGCAAATAACACAAGCTCCCCACTTCAGTTTCCCAGCTATCTCCTAGGGCTGATGTGAGCATTGATGAAATGGAAGCGAAATGCTTACAATGGCTTAGTCCACGGTAAGCACTCATAGAAGTCTGGTGATGATGATATATTGTTCTTCTCTGGGCCTGTTTCCCTCTCTGTAAATAGCGCTTCATGGACATAGACTAACTATGGGCGTGGCTTGCCACACCAAGAGCAAGATATCTATGCCGAGGAGGCCCCACTCCCAGTGCCCACCTGCCAGGCCCTGGGAGGGGTAGGTAACAAAGCTCCTGGAAGGTCCCACAGTACTTCCAGGGACAGCGCCAACTAAGGCAAAGGTCAGGCTCTGGCCCAGCCTGGGGCTGCCTCTCTAGCTTCTGCTTGTTCTTTAGCAGGCTGGCGCCAGCCAACCTCCCTACCACCTTCCAGCAATGGCAGGCAAAGCACCCTGGCAATAGCAATGGACACCCCCACCATAGGCACTCATGTGAGCCCAGTTAGGGTGCCCAGCATCTCGGCTCTTCTGCTTTGGCTGGCCAGTGGACAGGATACTGCCTCTTCACCCTCCAGTCTCCTGTACCTCTTGGGGATCCCAGGAATCAGCTGTGAGCCAGGCCCTGGCACAGTGTCCAGGCCTAATCACCTGAGGCCAGAAGGCCTTTTGCCCAAGGTCAGGTTAACAACTTTGGAAAAAGATGAGGGGCCTGGAGGCAGGCCAAGCTGTGGTCTCATCGCACCACAGTCCCTCAAATGCCCATGAGTCTATTTCCTATCTGGAAAATGGGGTTTAGTCCAGCCTTTGCGAGATGTATGTTCACAATAGAAAAAAATCTGTGTTCCTTTCCCAGGAACCCAAGCCCATCCCGGGCTGGAGGGACACATCCTGAACACAGCAGTGACAACAACCAAGCCTGGCTGGGGTCAGAGTGGCCTCATTCACCTCCCAAGGCTCAGAGAAGTCAGGCCACTTCACCAAGAGCCCACAGCAGCAGAGGCTTGGCCTGAACACACTTGCACCATCCTTGCAGCAGGCTCCCCCTCAGCCCAGGTCTCCATGTCATCAAGGAGGGCAGCAAAAGCTACTTAAGAGAAGGCCGGGGCCAGGCGCGGTGGCTCACACCTGTAATCCCAGCACTCTGGGAAGGCCGAGGCGGGTGGATCACGAGATCAGGAGATC